TGTCCCTTTATATTCATTGTCTCAAAACATTATTAGAATTTGACCTGAATATGCAATTCTTGCCTTAGCATTGGCCATGAGGATAGTATAGGGATATCTTGGTGACAAATGCTGGGATAGAATGGTCAAGGAGCCCATATTTATACCCCGGTGAGCTTGCGAATTGTGATAATTGGGGTTTTGGCTTTTGTTATGAATGCAATTTAAAAGCTTAGTTATCGTGCATGCTGGACTTTGTACAGATAAAGAAGCTTTGTACAGCCTGCTACTGCCTTTAGTCATGGAAACATAAAGCTAAATGCAAATACAAGGAAGATGGAAAAGATTCAGACTAGTACAGAGGGCACTGTGAAAACCTCACTCCAACATATCTAGTATATTTTTAGATATTCAATTTGTGGACTCTCCTGAAATTCACAAGGTTCTGCGTTAAGTCTTCAAAAGAATCATTATCTTCTCTCAGAATTGTATGTTTTTTTCACACTGACTAAAAACTGTTTGTGCTGAAATGCTGTTATCCCAGACTATTCCACTGGAAGTCTTTTTCTGATGGAATTGCTACAGGTGTAGGTGCTATACAGTATTTTGGAAAACTGCTCTATTGTGTAGCTGGCTTTCACTACACTATTTAAATAACATAGAGCTTTTAACCAAACACTCTATTTCATCATACTACATGCTAATAAAGGTTATAACATTAAAGGCTGGGACACTAAATCACTTTGATTTTTATTATTATATTAATAATAATAATAATTGCTTACACTTATATAGCGCTTTTCTGGACACTCCACTCAAAGCGCTTTACAGGTAATGGGGGCTCCCCTCCACCACCAGCATCCACCTGGATGATGCGACAGCAGCCATAGTGCGCCAGAATGCTCACCACACATCAGCTATCAGTGGGGAGGAGAGCAGAGTAATGTAGCCAATTCAAAGAGGGGGATTATTAGGAGGCCATGATTGGTAAGGGCCAATGGGGAAATTTGGCCAGGACGCCGGGGTTACACCCCTACTCTTTTCGAGAAACGCCCTGGGATTTTTAATGACCACAGAGAGTCAGGACCTCGGTTTTACATCTCATCCGAAGGACAGCGCCTAATGCCCCACTATACTGGGGCATTAGGACCCACATGGACCACAGGGTGAGCACCCCCTGCTGGCCCCACTAGCACCTCTTCCAGCAGCAACCTTAGTTTTTCCCAGGAGGTCTCCCATCCAGGTACTGACCAGGCTCACACCTGCTTAGCTTCATTAATAATAATGCATTGTAGGGCTCAAAGACATTGCAACATCTCAATTTATGGGCTTCGGACTTTTACCCAGGGACTCAAATAAAAGATCCTTATATTATCATCTGCAACATTTATTGTGGTCATGTTTTTTTTAATTCAGAGTGAAGTGTCAAATTTAACCAGAGGCTGTGGCAGAGATCAATAGAAGCAAACCTAGATGGTTCTGGATTAACTGAACACAAGCTTTTTTCTACTTTAGTAAAGTACATATTGATTGCCTGATTCGAATAGATAAAGCAGTGCCCACCATTTCTTTCCTTGAGTTAAGGTTAAAGGAACTTGCAAAATATGTAATGTTTTTTTGGATGTGCTACATTCATTTCATTCATTCATTTTAAATCAACCATCAGTGTACTAGTTATATTTAAGGAAGACCTAAATACAGTATTTGTTACACAAGGAAAGGTCTCTTGTGGACTGACATACTGTATGAACGAAAGTGGAAGTCAAGAAGAAGAACAGAACTCTCCAGGAGAACTCACTCTAGATAGATAAGACTTTATTGATCCTGAAGGGAAACTGATGAATTTCAATTTCATGTACTACTGTCCATGGTATTAGAATCAAAATTGTCAAACTACCCCACCAATCTCCTACCACCAAAGAGTCATGACTAAAACGGTGTGATTTATTGGATTTTTAACTTACACTTCTATGTCCATACATCTTAAGCTCATAGTTAAATATCTGTGTTTCTGAAAAACTAAAAATTTAAAATAAATCTAATTTCACTCTGTAGTGTAGCGAAGGTGTTACTGCATGTGTCCTTTCTTTGAGTCCAAACTCTTTGAGTTTTCTTTTCCTTTAGTACGATTATCATCAATCAGCAGGATCTCATGTCCTTGAAACATCTGTGCTTGCTTATGGGTTCTTGTTGGAAAGCTTTCAAAGACGTTATTAAATGCTGTTTGAAAATTCAAGATCCCTTACGTCACTTACTGTAGTTGGCTGTTATCAACACAATGCATTCCAAAAAGGGTCGGGAATACATCTGAAGTTGTGAAGACAGAATTCAGACACCTAAAAGCTTAATGTGATTCCATAATTTTTGTAATACTACATAGACATCTTTGCAAAGAATGTCCAAACACCCATGTGAATAATAAGAAACACCTAGCAGAAAAAATCCTGAAAACTAAGCAGTAATAATAGAAGTAATCGGTTCTCTTTAAACACTGTAAAAAGAAAAAAGACTGACAAATTTAATTTTAAAGAAAAGTAATTTTCTTTCCCTGCTCATCTCAACTCTGAACTGTAATATGTTTCCACCTCCTTATAAAGTATTTACGACCTGTTTGCCTTCTTTTAATTGAATTTTTCAGGGCTAAATCATCTCTTAGAGCTCACATTGGTCAGATTCAAAAACATCAGTGAAGCTTGTTTGCTTAATTAGCCTGCAATTTTCTTGAGGTCTTTGCTGATCTAAATGGGTATCAGCCTTGCACTCTGCATGCCCCACATTTTGTAGGCTGGGCCTGTCATATCATCCTCATTCAGGCACAGAACACTCTACTGAAAAGGAGATTATGCCCTGCAGCATAGAACTTATTTTCAATCAAACCCCAGTGCTGCACAGTTCATATAATGCATAGAGAGAACCTGAAGGTGAGAATGTTTTCACACATTGTAGCAAGTGTGCTTTGCAGCTTAACTAATTATATTTATTTTCTCAAAGCAATAAGTATATGTCTGACACTTGGAAGTTACAAGCAAATTCTTTATATGATTAATTCAATTAAAATAACAATTGTCAAACCTTATTATTTGCAAAGAGCCTGTGTTGTTCATACTTCAATTCCACCACCACACTGCATGAAGGAATTCCCCCCTAAAAAGGAATATGAAAATAATTCACCCGCAGGTACCACAGCAGTGTCTGCAGTGGAAACTTGAACCCACGGCCTTCTAGTCAGGTTTGCATAGTTGACTGCAGTCTTCTAGGAAGAGGTAGTGCTCCTAAAGGTTTGGAAAAACTGGAACGGTTTTGCAGTTGCAATGAGATGTGCCCATGTGCCAGATCAGGTCTAGCATGGATGGTTCAGAGCTGAGGGAGAAAGCAGACCAAGTGATGTTTTTGGCAAGTGCAGGTTTATGACATTGGAAGCTTTTGGTTTTTCTGTCTTTTGTGCAGTGCTGATTAACAGATAAACTATGTTCTTTTTTGTAGTAGCTATGCAATGAGCCATACATTTCTTTTTTGTTTTAAATTAAATTACAAGAGCGCCTCATTCATTAATTGAAAGTAAAATTCATTACCATGTAAAAATGATTTATTTTCAATGTCACATTTCTTCCTCAGTGATCCATGTGTGATATATTTCAGGCCACCTTTAAGAATATTTCAGATTAGTCTGACTTTCCCACAAAGGGACAGTAACACAAATCGGCTCAGGTTAAGCTGGATTTACGGCATCATGAACAAAAAAGCAAACCAACCCCAAATTATTTTATAATAAATTTGGACTGAAAATATTAATGAACAACAAAAGCTGTAGGGTTGACTGGGTCACAGTGGAATCTTGCCCTCAAGCTCTGGATCCCGATATGGACACCCACTGCTGAAATAAGGAAGAAATGGCAAAAACAGCTTCTTTTCAGGTCACGCTGAGTCTCAGTGTGAGTAAAAACTACTGCAATCAAATACATTAGAGAAAAGGTGGGAGGGGGTGGAATTCTGCATTTTCGTATGTTCGTACAAGCCTTTCAGCAAGAACTGCAATAAACATGTTGGCACTGCTGAAAAGTCAGTCAGTCGAGGCAGTGCCTTTAACACAGATAATTCACTGACACTTCATGTGTCCCCATTTCAAGGCACCTTGTTACTTGAACATCTAGGCTTGCTGTAACCTTTCTAAGCACAGAGATGTCACAACAATAGTCTGTTTGTGATGGTTTAACACTTTTAAACATGTTCCACAGCTCCAGGACAGTGGCCAGACCAAAAATGACCTTCTGCAGTGATTGAGGTTAAGTCAGATCTAGGAATGTCAAAAAAGGACAATCTATTCCTGTGCCAGTGTGGGTTGCTGTTGTCTCCTGCACTTTCTTATTGCTACGGTTGTTGGTTTAGTCTATGACTGAAACAAGACTGTACACTCTACAAACAAAAGTATGATAATGCCTCTTATTAAAGGTTTAAGACAATAAGTAAAGTGAATTTGTGAATGATCCTCTATGTCTGCTTGTTTGGCAAAGCAGATTATTTTAATTTACAATCCCCTTGTGCATTCACATGTTTGTTTTAAACGGTGTTGGCTGGAGCCTGAGCATTTCCTGCTTCTCTTGGGCTTTGCGGGCATCCTACTGTAAGGACATCTTGATAACTGCACAGACCATGGTTTAAAGGTTGTAAGGTTGTATAAATTCACTAAATACTCTTCAGTAGATTTTTTGGTTGTCTCACAATGGGAAGACAGCTCTTTGTGAGTATCAGGCCTTTTGTTGATTATTAATGCTTTATTCAAAATGGTCAAATACTGTCCATTATATTGTGCACTTGCACAGTACTTTTTTGACACAATCTTGGGATTAATTTATTTGTGGCCTGAAACAAAAAGCCCTGACTGTTCGAACACATTTTTAAAAAAACACAGCATCACACCTGGTGTGTTTACTCCCACACAACAACCTCTTACATAAAGGATCCCAGGCAGGAAAATTGTTACTCTGTTCTAGTAAAACATTCTTTTCTCCTTCTTTCCACAGGCTACATGTCTAAGCAGAGCTATGAGCCAAACCCTCAGCATAAGGGACAGAAGGTCAGTGCGTACTCACACCGGGGACCCATTTAGCCGCCCGTCAGCTGATGGAGTGGTGCCCTGTGAGGACAGGAACTGCCAGGCCCCTGGCGTGCATCTGGGCGGTCTTCTGAGAGAGCAGGCAGCGCAGCGGAATACGGAGACCCTGGCCACCCAGATTCCCCGCGCCATCGCAGGGAGCAGCTACAGTGTCTCCCAAAGCAAAAACAGCCCCTCGTCCGACACGGAGAGATGCCCCTCGGCCTTGGCCTGCCAGAAGGACAGGGGGGCTCTGCTCAGGCAGCACTCTGCTTTCACGGGCCGGCTGGGGCAACCCCCGCGGGGACCCCTATCTTTGCACATGTACAGCAGGAAGAATGTCTTTCTCCAGCACACACTACAGACAGCAGAGCTGCAGGCCCTGAGCCAGCAGGATGGGTAACACCACATCGGGCAGAAAGGTTTCGGCCCTTTTAAGTGTCTGAAAGGAAAAAAAAATACAAAACTGAGAAATGCTTCCACACTGTAGCTGCTAATAGTCCTGCCATCTTAAATTCTCTACAGTGCCATGTGTATTCAGTCATACTTATAACTGTTTGGAGGGTTCCTAATGAACTTTTTCTGTTAAAAAAAGAAAGTACTATCTCATTTTTACTTTATACTGTGTGCCCGCTCCATTAGATATTAATACTCTTGATATCACAGTGTTGGATATGCATTTTTCAATATGTGTAGTAGTCTAGGGGATTAAATTAAGAAGCTAGTATGTACCCTGCCTCACAACCCTATGTAAAAAAAATGATTTAAAAGACATTTTCTTTATGTTGTCAAATATGACTTGTGGACAGAAGCTGGTTCACAACTTCAATGCACTAACCACTGGCAAATTCCAAATTCCAAATTCAGGCCTTCATGGTGGGTAACCATTGCAGAAAAGCAAGGGCCAAGGGCCTACTGGTATTAAACTGCCATGAAGTTCAGAGTTTGTGATTTGTGAATCTGCTGGTGAATCAAAGCTGTGATTTAATCAGAGTCAAAGACAGGTAGAAAATTATAAGAGAGCTACAAATCTGTTCAAAGACATGACACCCCTGACGCCATCAGTCATGAAAAATAGATGATTTCTAGATAAGAGGCAGAGCCAGTAAAAAACAAAACATTTAAGTTGAATTCTTTCTAAATGACCTAAAAAATATTTGATTCATTCTTTCACTCTTTATTTGAATCCTTTTACCTGTTATATTTTCAAAACTCTTTCCAACCACAAATTAAATGATTTTGAAACCAGTTTTGGCTGAAATAAATGCATCTTCTTTTATAAGACATATCATCACATTTGTAACAGGCTTGTAATGAAATGTTTCATAGAATTAAGAATTTGCAAATGTCTTTTGTTATTTTTCCCTGAGCAATAACACCCTGCTAATCCTTTTTACCATTGACATTAGTTATAGTGTGAGCTGTCAAAAAGATATCACCAGCCAGAATTTGCCAAACTCTTTCTCTCAAGTAGAGAAATGCATTTGTACATTGTTCTTTTTCAGCTCCTAAAGCTAAAATATTAAATCTTTTCAATTGGATTGTTACAACATAGGAATCAGTTGCAAAAAGAATCCTTGCTCTCAATTAAAGACTTTTGTAAGTGCATGCATTTTACTATGAATAAAATTTAGAAAAAAATTTTGGCCCTTTTTATATATTTAAGGTGGGCCTGTACAGAAGGTAACATAAATTTTACATGGTTAATAAATGTACTTAAAATTGTAAAAAAATAAATAATCTCAGATTCTTTCCTCAAGTTTTGATACAAACACAAAGTAAAATGTACAGCTGGTGCAGTACAAAATTGATTCATTGTGATTTATAAGAATACAAAAAACTATTCTTGTACTCTTACATCTTTAACTTATTAATATTAAAATACATTTTAAAAAAGTACAAATAATGAAGAATGATATATCAAAATCTGTGCACAGACGATTGTAATGAAAAGCACACACACAATAATTATTTAATTTGGACACCGTGACGTGTAAGATGTTTTGCAAACTGCCAGAAACAAGTTCTCTCAAAGTGTAGAAAAGAAATGCTTCTGCTTTTCATAGATATTGTGTCCCCTTTTCCAGCATCTAACACGCCTACTGTTTGTCTAAAAAGTGGCACACCAGCTCAGAGTGAAGGATGTTTCGAGGTGAAGGAAACCCTCCAGAAAACAAAGGCTCCCCCAGGTCTTTTGTTCCCATTTCACAATTCAACAGGGAATGTCGAATTTCTCAGCACAGCCTAGATTTGATCCCATCTCATTGTTCAGAACAGTGCACAAAGCGAAGGAAAGGGGCTTCTTGAGGCAGGCAACAAAACTTTATTGCATTTCTGATTTCTATTATTAAAACAAGCTTAATTGTCTCCAGAACTTGTCTTTAAAGAAAATTACTTGAAAAGAAGCACTGAGCATATTATTTTAAAAGCTTTGAGTGTTGGCAATTTTTACAGCACAGCTAAATCTCTTTTGAGTACCAGTGTTGTGACTGAGCCATGCATATCTTACTTAAAATGCACAGATATAAGTGATAGAATAAATATGTATATACATTTTTACATGAAATACTGTATCTTTCCCACAAGAAGATTTGTGCTGGTAGATCTTTATGAAAATAACCTAGCAATGTTAAGCAATGGTGCATTATCCCAACCCTGTGTTCACTCTCATTACCTTTGACAAGTGCGATTTGATCATATATATAAGTGTGAAAATCTTAAGGGATATGGTATTGTTTTTTATTCTTGCTCCCATTCTCTTTAAACTGCATTATTTTTTTGGAGCAAAAGCAAATAAATACCAATGGTTCATAAGAGGTGGTTAAAACTCTGCAAAACAGCATATCGTTGTTACCTTTAAATAAACAATTGCTTAGCACGTACCTGAAAATGCTGATGCAATTCAGTTTCGCAGTTAGACAAGGAAACGTGGCAGGTAACAATTAAGCAGAAAGCCGTTTTGGTTTTGCAGTTGCTAGTGAGTTAATTAGCGTTGAGATGGAATTAAAACCTCAAGACCCTCAGGACTGTGAGGCAGAGAATAGACTTAACAAATGATAAAATTAGGGAAGGACAAAGCTATTTAATCTGATAAGCACACTGGCTGCATTTGAATTACTTTTATTATCTCCCATTCCTCTTCCCATTGTCTGGCTAAAATGACACGGTGATCTAAGACAATGAATTTTGCTTATTTCAAAATTAAGTTCAAACACTCCTAACTGCGCACCCCCCCACGAACAGCCATCATGTCAATGAGGTTAGATAGAAAGGAAGGACAGTCAGACAGAAACAGAATTGTCTTCCAATCTGTTTTTTTGTTTCCTGCTTCCAATCTTGTTATATTTTTATATCCAAAGCCAGTTGGCACAAATCATTACAGAATTAACCTTTTTCAAAATCTGGTCATTTCAAGAGGTTATTACCTCAAACTACACTTTGCGCAACTGTAAATAGAACATACTGTAACCTTACCCAATACTGTACCTTTTAGCACTTTTTGCTTCAAGAAATAATGTAGTGAATATGGAATAAAACACTCACTCCTCATTTATGATGATTTCTTTTCTGCATATTGCATTCTTTTAATTTCCCTCAATGTGTAATACATTATTGGCTTTTTTGAAGGGACATAATTCAGTTCTCAGAATCAGATTAATAATATGTGCAAGCAAAACACGATATATCTGATTGAGATGATCTTTTCCTTATTTCCTGTTTACAGCAGATAATAACTCCTAATTTACAGAGGACATTTTTTTTATCCAATATGAAAAAGTGATGCAATACATTGTCAAGCTTCTCTTTTTTCACTGCGCTGTTCTTTGAGCCGACAGTAGATGACTTAGGCAATAGTGACTTAAGGAATAAATACTACGGATGTTAAGGAAACGTGGTTAACAGTTTGTCTGATCTAAAACAAACCTTATTTATAATTTTAATTATAAGTGACTTAATAAAATATGTATTGAGTTATGTTTTGTTAGGCCTAAGAGTGTCCCAGGTATGCTTTCAGCAATGATTCAGGATATTCAGAAGCTTCTGGTATTCTTTAACAAATATCTTACTGCATCATTTGTGTTTGGTTTCAAGGAGTTTTTCTGTCCACCCATATTGAGAGTCAACCAGCATGAGAATATATTGTATATTGTAAAGTAATGAGTTTATTGAGAGTAAAATAGCATGGCAGCCACTGTTAAAGGCTTCAAAGAAGAATGTTGACTCTTCTTGAGTCCTGGGAGGGAAATAACAGTCTCCCCCATGCAGCACCTAGTCCTCACCTGTCCTCATGTGCTCTAGTGCCGGTGTGACAAGCGTAGCTATCCCTTCCCCTGCCAAGATTTGATCCCGGTCACTCTCGGGCTCTGAGCATGCCTGGCAACACTTCCAACTTCTCTACCATGCCAAAAGTCTGCGTCTCAGAGTTTTACACTGTTTAGGTTTCAGAGAGAGGTGATGTTACTTCTGTAACTCGCTCAGCGCACTGAGCTCAGTTACACTGGTAAAGCCACTGGTCAAACATAACTGCCTCAAAATCAACAGCACAATCTTTTTGTGGCTCTGAAGATCCTAACCTGACTGAGGTACCTGTCATTTCAATCTGGAAATGAATCCTCATGGGCTTTGAGTACGAGGCACAGGGTAGTTTATGTCATTAATGCGACTGACACCCCACATCCTGTGAAGCAGATTGTGTTTCCAACTGACAATGACTGGTCTGCCAGGATGATTAAGAGAGTGATCTTTCACAGTTTAATAACTATATTTTAAATGTCTTTATATTTAAGAATGAAAACTTCTCCTCTTACAATGTTTTAGTGATGCTAAGTTTTTCTACTGAGTTGGGTTTATCATCAGCCCCTGTAAGTTATTTATTTTGCCTTCTTTATAACATGATGTTATTAATTTGTAAAGTATGACTGACAAATTATTTCATGTTTTCTACCGTGTTTGGTGTTTTGTGTTATTTAAAATCTATTTTATGGAAACCTTGTTAACATCAGATCTGATTTACAGTGTAAAAATGGTTTTAAATTTATCACATTAACCTATTCTGATGACAAAGGTTTTTACATTCTTGTATTATTTTATCCTATTAAAGAAATGTAAATTATAAATGTCTGTTTCTTAAATTAAAACTGAATACTGTAAATGTTCTTAGTTTCATCCTTTCAAAGACAAGTTATTCTGAACAACAGCAGGAGATAGAAGTAAAGATATGAAGAAAAAACATCATACAGTAGCATGCTATTCTTTTACTCTTTCCTGAAAAGATTCCCAATATAAATCTTAATATTAAGCGATATTTAACTAATAGTCCTTCAGTAAATACCACAATTCTTCTCTGCCTGATATACAGAACATACTGTACATTAGGGAAGGTGTTTTTTAATTAATGGGTCTTATAGTTTTTCAGATTGAGAATTTGATTTTGTGTTTTTCTGAACAACAGCCTTGCTCGCAAATAATATAAATTTCAGATAGCATTTTATTTGGTTCAGATAATTCTAGAGTCTAACTGAATTTGAGGCACTATTTTCTGAGGTTTCCAACAATACATAGTCCCTAAACGTACAACTGGAAGGCATACAGATCATCTATATCTGTCCACTGCCAAGGGTATTTAGCTAGGACACACTTGCTAAAACTCTAAATGTAATAATACAGTTTAATATCAACCACTGAGTAGCAACTTGCTTAATATCAAAATCCACTTTCAGGACAACATTGGCTCATAGTCATGAATCCTTTATAACAGTTTTATGTTAATTGCAGCTGTTTTTATTTTCTGTGCAATACTGATGCAGATTTCTTGAAATAGGTAAGGGGGGAGGTAACACAGAGTTGGTGCAGCTGCAAATGTTTTTTCGCAGGAACTGAAGAAAACCTATGCATAGTGTGATATGAAAGAGAAGTGTGTATGATGCAAGCTTGAGCTTGTTTGATTGAGTGGATTTGGATGTGCAGGGTTTTGGAAGAACACCGATGGAGAATGAAGTGAATGAGAAGCTGGTATGGTGCAGGGGAAGGAACACAAGTCAGCGAAGAGGCGGCAGTACAGCCAACAAATCCTCACCGGCTTGAGTGTGGAAATGCGTGGTGGGCAAGAGAAAACACTCTGGTGACCTGGAGGAGTGACTGAATGTGGAAGTAGGAAGGAATAAAAGAATAGGTAGTGAGTTGCTGCTTGCTGAAAGTTGCAGGAACTTAATGGTTAAAAGCAGCTACATTCTTATGTGGAAGCTCAGGGAGGGAAAGAGGCGATGGCCAGCACCACACCAGATGGACTCCAACCAACTAACCAAGGAGGGGTGTTAAAGGGTTGTTAATGAGGAGACCTGGAACCAATGCAGATCGTCCTATCCAGGGTGAAGCTGGTCTTGTCCACTCAGTCCCAGCTTGAGCAGTACACTTACAGTATCACCTTCGCCAGGAGAAAGAATTGCATCCCAGTACTGTTTAAGCATTGTTTTGAAGCTATTTTGAATCAAACATCTCTCTTCTCTTTTTCAGCTGCGTGTACATTTTCTTGTTTCAGAGCCACTTTAATTTATGCGCCTGGGATTTCCATTATTGACTTGTCAAACATTACAGCAATTACAGAGCAGTATTCTTCGAACAGAGGATTACAAGTCTTTTTTAACTTCCAAGTAAGAGCTCCCCTATGTTGTTGTTTGTATTTTACATGAGCTGACATAAAATGCTGGCTGTTGAAATACTCTGAATTATTTGACAAAAAGAAAGCAAAGCATAAAGAAAGTTTAAAACCAACCTCCCTTGAACATACAAATGAGGAAAGTGCATTTGGTTAAGCATGAATGTCTGTATTGACAGTAGGAATGTTAAATTAATTTCAGTCAATTTTTCATAATCTGTTTTCTGTGGGGAAATATATTTTCTGTTTTATGTTAATACAGTATGTGCCTCGTGTTATTGTTTATGTTATTATGTGTTCTTCAAAGATGGTTAATAAACATTTTCTAGTTACAGTATATAACTTATTATTTTAATTGTTCTAAATAAAATAAGATTGAGTTGGAGTGGATAATAGTGTACAGTATGTGCAAATCATGATCTGGAGGGGCCCCTTTCCAAAGTATTGCCTAGGGCCCCCAAAAAGCTAGGGCAGGCCCTGGTTGCCTTTATAACTACTATGTGAACGATAACCATTAAGACTGGCTATTGTGTTACTCTGCACTGAGAAATCACATTAAGCCAGCTGTGGGAGCACTACAGTTGTGTTTAGATTTTCTAAAAACACTAGTGGCTTTTCTACCAATTTATGAGAAATTCTGAGAACTACACTGACAACATACTAATGTATAATGCCAAAATGTCGTTTCATTCAGCGTTATGTAGTTATATAAAGGTTATCAGCATAAGAACATAAAAACAATTATCAACAAGAGGAAGCCATTTGGTCCATTTGATAGTGCCTAATTGAACCAAGGATCTCATCCAGACATTTCTTGAAAGAAGGAGATTCAACCTTAACATCTTGGCTAAGTACCTTGTTCCAACAATCCTTTTGAGAATGAAGTGCCCCCTATTCTCAGTGTTAAACATGTTTTGAAAGTTCTTAAACCAGAATTGTAGATTAAAAATCTACCAGACCAAGTGTTAATGAGTTAATTTTTTTAAAAAGCGATCTGCAGTTACTAAGAGTAATTATTTTTTTAGTTTTGGTTTAGATATATTGTACTAACAATCAAATCAATCACTTATAATTACTGTAATATTCATGCTAAGAATTTTTATAACATTGATTGTAATGGTACTGAAACTGCTTTATTGTTCTTTACTATCCAATGGTATTTTATAGAATCTAAGAGCAGTTTTTTATTTTATTAATTTATTTTCTTTAGCCCTACAGACTTTAATTGTTTGGAATTCTGCACTGACATTCTCATTAATGGGGTGTATATAAATGTACTGTAACAATATGAATACTGTATGTACTGTACAGTAGACACAATCCTAAAGCACATTATCTCATTTAATTGATAGGCAATTATTTGCACCATGACCACTATATTGTAATAATTTATAAGTTAGCTTGATGCTGTTAATGATTAAATGTGCTGGAAGAATTTTAAGTCCAGATCCCATATTTAAATGTGCTTAGAATACACTGTAGATGATAAGATAACAGGGTTACATTGGAGTCTGCTTCTAACACGAGGGAATGCTGGATAGAGGTGAATTTAACTCACCTTGAAAATGTTGCATGGCTCATATAACACATGAAGGGTTAAATGGACAGCATTGCAGTTTGTTTCAATTTCACTCCGACTGTGTTCCCAGTACCTAAACTGAGTTTGATTGTTCAGTTCATCAGGACAAATTCTGTGTTGTTCTCTGCAGGTCTGTACAAATAATAATGCACCTTTATTTTACCAGGTTAGCGAATTGAGAACAAATTGTTATGTATAATGATGTTCTGCAGAATTACCTATACACATTTATACATTAGGGATTTTTACCTAAGTAATCATGGTGAACCTCAGTGTACATGGATGCACCTGTAGTGTCCCACCCAGAACCTTAACCCACAACCTTCCAGTTTTAAGTACACAGACTCCACCACATTTCTGTACATACAAATGGTTAATTACAAACATGCCCTACCAGGTACAATAAATGTTAAACAGAAAGGCAAGGGCTGAGCCCATACAGTAGCTATGCACACAATCCATGAAGTAGAAAGACAATTAGAAGCTGATGGTTCATTGGCTTTAATTTCTGAATAACCAAGACTTCCAGTGTCTGAAAGCTCACTAAACTCTTCAATTTTGTTCTGATCTTTTGCACCAAAGAGAAAACAAGTTGATAACTTGGGTAATGCAGTTCCTGATAGGTTGATGTAGCTAAAATAGCCTTTTCCATTTTCTTAAATCTCAGTAACCATTCTTTAAACATTTCCAATTTGGAATTGTTTGCCCACACAGCCCACCACAGAGTAGCAGTGATTCATCTGTCACTGTCAGCCCTGCCAGCTCACAAGAACTGGCAAGTCACAGGGCTCTCAAGCTTAGAATATTCTGGCCGACTGGGACTCACCAGTTGGGGTTTGACCAGTGGTGAGCTTTCTCTATGGAAATACTGGCTGGTCTAGCTCTGTTTCAAACCTGTGGGATTTATCCCATTTGAGATCTGCTGCTACAGTGTTTCAATTTTCCAATCTAGGATACCCTTTTATTAATGTAAAGGCTTGGAGCCACTAGGGCATCATCAGAGAAGCAGGATAAAAAATGTTGATGAATATTGTCCAGTGAAATCTCTTTCTCATTCAGGAGAAAAGCAAACCTCTTTGTGAAGGACTTGCCCAGGTGAAAAAGGGAAAGATTCCTCTGTGTTAAATCTGCATTCACTGCATGACCGTTAATATCCTCTTGATAATGACAGTTTCTGTAACTTATCACTTTTTTGCTAGAAAGAAAGGCCTGACATTCCTGTTAGGCATCTTTCCCCAGATGTTTCTGTTTCCTAATCACAAATTCACAAGATGTCTAGAAAGCTAACCTCAGCTTCTGGGGATGCACAGCATATTATACTAAGCTCTCCAAATCTGGTCATTGCGTCTTTTAGCAATCCCTCCAATTCATACTTTAGAAGACAATTTATTTTACTTTGGATAATACAAGAAAATGGAGAAAGTAAGCAGAAGGCTATAATTGGCAGGGAGAGAGCAGTTCATTCAGGATTGTCTCTTGTCACGGTTGTAGAAAATTACTGTTTACTTGACATTTCTGTGTTTCTGATTTCTGCTTTTCACCCACTGCAGTGTAATCCTTTTCTGTGAGATTCTTTTAAAGTCAGTCATGGAGTTAGCCAGGGTCATTTCTTAACAACTCGCTTTAAAACACTTCCTAAAAGGTCTTCTTTTCAAAACCCCCTTTCATAAATTCAGAAAATGGTCATTCACAGCCCCCTTTAAAACACTTCCTAAAAGGTATTCTTTACACAACTCCCTTTAAAATAATTCACAAAAGGCTCCAGATTTCAAGCAGCTGTGCCCTTGGAGATCCATGGTGGGGATATTTCCAAAGCTCCTTTGTTTCTTCACTGCAAAGTGAGTGATATTCTTTGA